CTGTTTTTTAGTTGCAGCCATCATTGTTGTTTGGCGGGCCCGGGCTGGGGATTCGAACCCGCCATCTTAGGTGTATGTGGCTGGCACCTTAGCCGCTTGAGCCACAGGCGCCGAGCCGGATCTGTGTATATTTTAATGGTAATAAATGACAATATAGACTAGTAGTATCTATATGTATTATACATTCATGATATACCTTTTAAAAATTTTTTTGATATTTTTAGGTTATACAGTTTATGAGTTTTTTCAAATTGTCATAGATCTCAAGAAAATTTCCCAACATATTTATTGAAAAAATTCACATGTGTAGATCCCCACAGTTCAAACCTGTGTTGTTCAAGGGTCAGCTATAGTTGAAGATGAGTGTAATTTCTTACATTAACAAATAACATTTCACACCTGTAATCCCAGCACTCCAGGAGGCCGAGGCAGGTGGATTGTCTGAGCTCATAGGTTCAAGACTAGCTTGAGCCAGAGTGAAACCCCTGGTCTCTAAAAATAGCCAGGTACTATAGTGGGTGCCTGTAGTCCCAGCTACTTGGGAGGCTGAGGCAAGAGAATCACTTAAGCCCAAGAGTTTGAGGTTACTGTGAGGTGTGAGACCATGGCACTCTACCAAGGGCAACATAGTGAGACTCTGTCTCAAAAAAAAAAAAAACCAAACAAACATTATTCATTTAGTCTTTAAAATATCTCTAATGTGATCTAAATACCATAGCAATTTAATGCCTACTATCGTTGATTCAGAACACTACCTGGCAGGGCACAGTGGAGTCTGACAACAGCCTGAGTGACAGAGAGGACCCCATGTCTACCACAGAAGCCTTCTTGAACAAGCTTTTCTGTAGCAGTCAGAAAGTTCACGTTGTTCTTTTTTTCCCTGAACTCTGTATTTCCAGTCCATAGCTCCCAGAATTTTAAATGAATATATTTTTTACTCTTGAAAAAATGTGAATCAATCACCTATATCAATAGGTATATTCAAATAATCTAAAAATAGAAATTTGATAGAGTCACAGGGCTTTACATGTTCAGAAACTTTTCTAAGACACTATAACGGTTATTAGTGCACAGTTTATGAAACAGTGTCATGTGCTATAAATTGCAGCAAGTTTTAAGTGAATGATAAAATATTCTTGGGAACAGCCCTCCTGCTGGCTCAAGTAGGGCTTTGCCCACACTGTCTCACAGCACCTGCCTCTCGCAAGACCAGATGGGAGCATTGGCTTCCAGGGCAGAATCTCATGTGCTTGGCACTCCTTCCAGGTTAGAAGTCAAGAAGCATCTGGGGACCTCTTCTCTGGAGGAGGGCTTTGACTTGTCTGTCAGCTGATAATTTAATGAGTTCCTGTGATTTGGTGAAAAGGGAAGCAGGATCACTTCTGGCCAAGAGCTCTAGGCCAGCCTGGGCAACATTGCGAGACCCCATCTCTAAAAATAATAATAATAATAATAAAATTCTGTCTTCTGGTCAAGAGTGTTACAGTTTTCCCTGCAGACTGAGTTTTACTATAGGCAGTGTGCACAGATCACCTCCGTGGCAAAGCCTGTCTACATGTGAAAGCAGCAGCCCAATCAGACTTCCTCTGCAAGTCTCGCTTCAGACAATCATAACTGTAGTGTTTGAAAAACATCATGCAACACTGCAAGTGAGGGACATGCCCTGCCACGTAGCTTATGAAGTGCAGTCCAGCTCACGGCCATCCAGAGCTGACGTACACAGGGTACACTTCACACAACTGTCCCATTCCTGGAGTATCTGACTGGCTCCAAGGTGCAGGGCAGTGAGCACCTGCCTGCATTTGCTTTTAGGGTTTGATTAGGAGTCCAAGTGGTGGTGTTCAAATTATATGTAATATGTCTGCTTTTGGTATTTTTCTTCTGGGGGCTCATGAGCTATGGAGGGCAGGCCAGAGGGCTGGTGTCCAAGAATGACTCAGTCTTGGTTTACCTGTGAGGGGTGGTAAGCAAAGAGCCTGCCTTGCAGAAGTGGACGATCCAGTTGAGGGCATGTGCTCAGCAACCACTGTGGCACAAGAAGGAGTGATGAGTGCCTTGAAAGAGGTGCTAGGGCTGGGGAATCTGGGCCAGGTGCCTGCTACAGGATCCCTTCCTCCATTTCAGGCATGAGGAGCTTGACCGAATGGCCAAGGAGAGGGACGCAGTGCTGGAGGCTGTGAAGGGGGCCCACCGAGAGCAGCTGCAGGCTCTGGAGGCCAAAGTGTGGGAGCTCCACGCCCATTGCGAGGCTCTGGAGGCACAGCTCCGCAGAGCAGAGTGGAGGCAGGCAGACGCTGCCAGGGAGAAGGACACTATTGCTGACAGGTGAGTAGGCACCTTGCTGCACCCAGAGGACTGGCAAGGGAAGGGCATCTGGTGGGTGGTGAGGTTTTTGTAGCTTTCATGTCATTTTTCTTAACCGTTCTTTTTTTGTCTTTCTTTTGAAATTGTGTAATTTGTGTGTGTGTATGCATTTATTTATTTGTGGTAAAATATACATAACATGAAATGTACCTTTTTTTTTTTTTTTGAGACAGAGTCTCAAGCTGTAGCCCTGGGTAGAGTGCTGCTGTGGTGTCATAGCTCACAGCAACCTCCAACTTTTGGACTCAAGTGATCCTCTTGCCTCAGTTTTTCTATTTTTAGTAGAGACAGGATCTCACTTTTTGCTCAGGCTTGTCTTAAATTCAAGAACTCAAGCAATCCACCCGCCTTTGCTTCCCAGAGTGTTGGGATTACAGGTGTGAGCCGCCACACCCGGCCAAACATACCATTTTAACCATTCTCTTAGTGCACAGTTGAGTGACATTAAGTGTTACACTGTGGTGCAGCCATCAGCACCATCCTTCTCCCGAACTCTTCCATCTTCCCAGACTAAAGCTCCATCCCTATTAAACAGCAGCTTCCCCTTCCCCTCCACTGGCTCCCATGGACTCCCTAGCCTGGGAAGCCTCCACTCCACTGTCTCTGTGACTCTGGCTGCTCTGGTCTTCCTGTCAGTTGGACTCATAGTGCTTGTCCTTTTGTGACTAATCATCTCACTCAGCATAAATACCTGCAAGTTCACGCTCATTATAGCGTACATCAGAATTAAAGTGCTGTGGTGTCACAGCTTATAGCAATCTCAAACTCTTGGGATCCAGCAATCCTCTTGCCTCAGCTTCCTAAGTAGCTGGGACTACCCCACCACAATGCCTAGCTGTTTTTCAGAGACCAGGTCTTCCTCTGGCTCAGGCTGGTCTGGAAAGTGTGAGGTCAGGCAATCCACCTGCCTTGGCCTCCCAGAGTGCTAGAATTACAGGTGTGAGTCACCACACCTAGCCTTCTAAATAAATTTTTTTATTATGGTAAAATAACAAAATTTATTATCTTAGCCAATTTAAGTATACAGTTTAATGGTTTTAAGTCAGAATTTGTGTGCTTTTTAAGGCTCAATAATATTCCATCATCTGGATGGACTACATTTTGTTTATTTATGCATCTGTTAATAGACATGTGGGTTGTTTCCATCTTTTAGATCTTATGAATAATACTGCTGTGAATATGTATGTACAAATATGTATTTCCTTGAGATCCTACTTTAAACTCTTTGGTGAAATTGAATTCTCAGAAGTGGAATTGTAAGATTATGTAATTCTTTGTTGAGCTGTTCCAGGCACTCTTTTCTAGTGACTGTGCTGTGTCCCATTCCCACCAATAGTGCATGAGAATTTTCCAATAACACCATTACTAGTTTCTTTTTAAACCCAGTTTCCTGGCTTGGCACCTGTGGCTCAAGTGGTTAAGGTGCCACCTAAGGTGGTGGGTTCAAATCCAGCCCGGGCCCACCAAACAACAATGACGGCTGCAACCAAAAAATAGCCAAGCGTTGTGGCAGGTGCCTGTGGTCCCAGCTACTTGGGAGACTGAGGCAGGAGACTCGCTTGAGCCCAGGAGTTGGAGGTTGCTGTGAGCAGTGATGCCATGGCACTCTACCCAGGGGGATAGCTTGAGGCTCTGTCTCAAAACACCCCCCCCCAAACCCAATTTCCTTTTTGGCATCTAAGCCAGGTGAGACCATGTTAGCAATCCTGTTCCACTTGTGCCCAGCATTTAAGGAGAAACACGTACAACTCTAACCATTGTGGCTTAGAGAGAGACATGTGTAAGACTGACCATAATGATTGGTATTGAGAGAGAGATGCGTGGACAAGTCTAACCATGGTGACTCGTGTTGAGAGCGAGACGCGTGCAGGTCTAACCATGGTGATTGGTGTTGAGGGAGAGAGACACATGCAGGTCTAGCCATGGTAACCGGTGTTAAGAGCAAGACGCGTGCAGGTCTAGCCATGGTGATGGGTGTTGAGAGTGAGACGCGTTTAGGTCTAGCCATGGTGATCGATGTTGAGAGAGATGTGTGCAGGTCTAACCATGGTGACTGGTGTTGAGGGAGAGATGTACAAGGCTAAGCAGTGCCATTGCTGTGGAATAGTTAATATTCACCTACAATCTCCTAATTCCCAGTAAGGAAGTGATCCCTGGAGAAGCCATATTTACTGAATACTTAAGACAAATAAATGATTACCTAGTCTTTCCCATGCTTAGCAGTGGCTTTTCCTTTTGGGGAATATTTGTTCCTAATTTTACAGAATTCTATGCTTAAATTAAATTTCTATTTGGGGGGAAACACTATTAAAATTATAAGGCATCCAGGGGTTAAAGGCTTATTCAGGATGGTTTCCTTAGATTCAGCTTTATTGTTTTTTTTTTTGTTTGTTTGTTTGTTTGAGACAGAGCCTCAAGCTGTACCCCTGGGTAGAGTGCTGTGGCATCACAGCTCACAGCAACCTCCAAATCCTGGGCTCAAGCAAGTCGCCTGCCTCAGCCTCCCAAGTAGCTGGGACCACAGGCACCTGCCACAATGCCTGGCTATTTTTTGGTTGCAGTAATCATTGTTGTGTGGCAGGCCCGGGCTGGATTCAAACTTGCCACCTTAGGTGTATGTGGCTGGCACCTCAGCCACTTGAGTCACAGGCCCTGAGCCTATTGTTGTTTTTTTTTGAGACAGAGCCTCAAGCTGTCCCCCTGGGTAGTATGCCGTGGCATCACAGCTCACAGCAACCTCCAAATCCTGTGCTCAAGCAAGTCGCCTGCCTCAGCCTCTCAAGTAGCTGGGACCACAGGCACCTGCCACAACGCCTGGCTATTTTTTTTGGTTGCAGCCGTCATTGTTGTTTGGTGGGCCCAGGCTGGATTCGAACCCGCCACCTTAGGTATATGCGGCTGGCACCTTAGTCGCTTGAGCCACAGGCACCAAGCCAGCTTTATTGTTTTGTTGTTTAACCGATTTTAAGAACAGTAGTTGGAGGGTGGCGCCTGTGGCTCAGTGAGTAGGGCGCCAGCCCCATTTACTAAGGGTGGCGGCTTCAGACCTAGCCCTGGCCAAACTGCAAACAAAAAACAAACAAAAATAGCCGGGCACCTGTAGTCCCAGCTACTTGGGAGGCTGAGGCAAGAGAATCACCTAAGCCCAAGAGCTGGAGGTTGCTATAAGCTGTGACACCCCAGTACTCTACAGAGGGCAACAAGATGAAACTCTTGTCTCTAAAAAAAAAAAGAAAAAAAAAAAGAACAGTAGTTGGAGAAGCGAAGGCCTCCAAGTCCAGTGCATGTGTGAGCACCTGTCGCCCATGCTGTCCAATCCTGGGAGATGGGGTGCTGTCCCTGCTGTGCGGCTGAAGAGGTGCCTCTCTCTGGCCCGCGTGCTGGACCTCACCTTCCCCTACAGCCTTAAACTGAACGTTGTTCTGGGTATCCTTTAGTGTTCTGTCCATGGATATTTCTTGCTCATCAAGTATTATTAAGCACACAGCATATTATTGTGAGGCTAGAAAATAGATGATAGGGATCGGTGCCCGTAGCACAGTGGGTAGGGTGTCAGCCACATGCAGGCTGGAGGGTTCGAGCCTGGCCCGGGCCAGCTAAATAACAATGACAACTGCAGCAAGAAAATAGCTGGGTGTTGTGGTGGGCGCCTGTAATCCCAGCTACTTGGGAGGCTGAGGGAAGAGAATTGCTTAAGCCCAAGAGTTTGAGGTTGCTGTGAGCTGTGATGCCACAGCACTCTACTGAGGGTGACATAGTGAGACTCTGTCTCAAAAAAAAAAGAAAGAAAAAAGGAAAATAGATGATAGACTCAAAAGCTTAATTCTTTCCTCCTTTATGTCCAGGGGGTTTCAGGTGTCATTCCGACCTCACTATTGTGAGCGTGAGTTCACATTAGATGATGCCCTTGCAGTTCTTAGTAGCTTTTAGTGTTTGGGAAGTTTTAGTGTTGGGAAGTCTGGTTAAGAGTTTGAAACTACAGAGAACACATGTAGGACTAAGATTCCAGTGTAAGGTATTTCTGTGGTGGCTCATCTCCCACTTGTGACTGCTGATGTCCTTCTCTGTGTGCAGGGTGAGAGCTCAGCGGCCGTGCTGGGGGGCGTGGGCTGGGAGTGCAGGGCAGAGCAGAGAGTATGTGTCCATGCCTGTGCTGGGGGAGCTAGCCACCTTCCTGGGCAGCTCGGCTTGGAGGTAATGCTACTGCCCAGAGCACCTAGAAGCTGTGGACAGCTCTGTCTTCAGCACTCAGGTGTGAGTGTGGAAAGCCGGATTTCCACGGATGACTAGAAATGCTGAAGCCTTTGGTACTGCCTCTCAGCCCTCCTAAACACGCATCAAAAGACATGTGCATAGTGGCTTTTTTCCCCTGTGTGTAAGACTAGCCTTGAAATACACACCCATGCTAGATTAAACTGACCCTCATGGCTAGGCGTGGCCTCGTGCGGCAGTCAGCTCCCCCTCTGCCTTCAAGAGTCCATCAGTTGGGGGTTGTTAGCACAGGAGCAGCTGAAGGGCCTTCCCAGCACAGTGTTATGATCACTGTGGGATCCGTCACTGAAACAGGACTACCACCAAGCACACACAGGTGTCACTCGCCTGCTTCAGCAGGGACTGCCCTGTCAGGGCCTCTGGCGTCTTCTGTGAAGGTTTCTCTTGGGAAATTTATCCAATTTGGGAAAATTCTTCCAGAGGC